AACTGCTCTTAGTTTCCCATTGAGCCTGATATGCTGCAGGTCAACTTCCAGAGACATTTTGTATAAACAAGCAATACCTACCCACCAAAATCAACAAGGAGAATCTGTGCTCACACACATGCTCTTAAGTGTACATGTAAAATTCAAAATCAATACCTGATGGGCTCTACATATAAGATCCAAATCATGCTTATGGAGAAATTTTGCAACCACTTCTGCACCAAATGTGAAGGACACTCCTCTGTCATTTTCACCCCAGCCTAAGACATCTTTATCGGGGTCAGACCACAAAAGATCACAAAGAAGACCTTGATCTGGTACATCAGTTGGTCGCATAATTCGCCGAATCTGCTCCATAGATTGAAGATCTGGTGATAAACCTATTAAATAAGAAAAATTTAAAGAAAACCACTTCAGAGAGACTCAATGGCGAAGTCTTAAATTAAATCTATGGATTTGTTTTCTTACTAAGCTTTGGGTAAAAAAACAAAAAACCAAAAACTGAATTAGCACTGGAATTTATTTTAAGCACTAATCTGTGAGCACAGTATATGGAAACAGTTCCATATACTAAAATATATATGAAATTAAAATCCTCTTTTGAAAGGATAAAAAACTACCCAGGGAAAGTCTATTGACGTTTTCGGTATTCTAGATCTATGGTCCAGCAATGTTAACTGCTGTGCATTTTATATTTAAAAATATTTTGTTCTGTTTTCAAATCAAACTGTTACAGAATCTAGAATTCCCTGTAACAAATAAATTGCTTACTTCAGACTTCTATCCAAATAATCCTGGATGTGCCAAAGTGGACTAATGATCAATAAGAGTTATCTGACAGAAGAAGTCATCCCACTGATAACTCAAAAATGTCAAAATATACCATTTAGAAGGGATAAAAAACCCTACAGTTCCATTTGGAATTAAAATCAGCCCACATACCTCCATGACAGCAAAATATTTTCTCATCCACGATGGCTGCTATCGGTAAACAGTTAAAGCAGTCTGTGAAAGTTTTCCATAGTTTAATGTTATATCTTCTTTTACCTGTGAAAATTTTAGGATGGTTAAAGAGACTGATGCATGGCCAGCATGACTGTGGTTGAGCGTCGACCTATAAACCAGGAGGTCATGGTTTAATTCATGGTCAGGGCACATGCCTGGGTTTCGGGCTTGATCCCGTGTGGGGCATGCAGGAGGCAGCTGACCAATGATTCTCTCTCATCACTGAAGTTTCTCTCTCTCTTTACCTCTCCCGTACTCCCTAAAATCAATACAAAAATTTATTTTTAAAAAATCCCTTGGACAGGATTAGGAAGCGCTCTTTGAATGACCACCCAGGGCTCCCTTAGATCTTTCCTTTGCCCATATGCTGCATTTGCCAATGCCAACAACTCTCATCCTTTCTGAAGTCTCCTTTGCTCCTTGATTCCTTAGTCATGCAACACATTCCAGCATCTCCTGCAAGTTTCTTTGCTATCGTTGTTGGCTGTTCTATTAAAAATTAGGATTTTCCCTCCTGTTGTCTCTGAGCATCTTAACTAAGTCCTGAGCCCCTGCTTTCTCTTCTATTTCTCTACATCCCGCAACCCCCATTGCCCAAGGCCACTTCAGACCACTAGGAACATCTGGCTCCAGAAAGGTTTGGCTTGGGTAATTGCCAACGTCTCTGCAGGCTTTCAAATCCTGGGATTCTGAGCCAGAATCCCTAATGCAGTTTCCTATTATTACATATCAGAAAGCTCAGTGGTTGAACATTGATCTATGAACCAGATCATGGTTTGGTTCTCAGTCAGGGCATATGCCCAGTTTGCAGGCTCGATCCCCAGTGGGGGATGTGCAGGAGGCAGCCAATCAATGATTCTCTCTCATCACTGATGTTTCTATCTCTCTCTCCCTTTCTCTCTGAAATCAATAAAAAATAAAAGATAGCAGAAAGGGTGACACACAATTCACATTTTATCCAACAACAAATACCTCAGCCTTACCAGTACCGCAGTCATAAGGACAGAAAGAAAATAGTACAGAGTCCTGGATATACTTGGGAAATAAATCTATCACTTAAGGTAGCAGTTTTTAAATTGCTTCATGAGAAATCTACATTTGAATAAAACATCACCTTAATAAAATTTACAGTAAAAATTTAATAAAATATCAATAATTGTTTTAAAAGTCTACAAACCATCAAATGAAAGCCATTTATGCCAAGGACACTTTTATGTCCACAAGAAGACTAGGTGGCAAAATATACCTGCCTAATGGGATGGGGGCAGCTTGAATACAAGATCAATAATTGAGTCTTCTTAATGACCAAACCAATGCTGACCTTCTAAATCATTTTTAAAGGCCTTTGCATTAAATAGAAACTGAAAGTGATGTAGCTAATATTCTCACACTAGGATATATGTCACAACAAAGAGATCATCTGGATTTGAACTTCAATGAAAACTTCAAAGTACTCGCTGAGATAACAGTTGTGTAAAAGAAATCCTTTTTAAGAAAAACATTTTTTATTGACTTCAGAGAGGAAGGAAGGATAGAAACATCAATGTTGAGAAAGAATAGTTCAGCGGTTCTCAACCTGTGGGTGACGACCCCTTTGGGGGTCAAACAACCCTTTCACAGGGGTCACCTAAGACCATCAGAAAACACATATATAATTACATATTGTTTTTGTGATTAATCACTATGCTTTACTTATGTTCAATTTGTAACAATGAAAATACATCCTGCATATCAGATATTTACATTACGATTCATAACAGTAGCAAAATTAGTTATGAACTAGCAACGAAAATAATTTTATGGTTGGGGGTCACCATAACATGAGGAACTGTAGTAAAGGGTCATGGCATTAGGAAGGTTGAGAACCACTGGAATAATTGATTGGCTGCCTCCTGCACGCCACCTACTGAGGACCAAGCCTGCAACCCAGGCATGTGCCCTTGACTGGAATCCAACCTAGGATCCCTTTAGTCTACAGGCCGACGCTCTATCCACTGAGCCAAACCCATTAGGGCAAGAATCCTTTCTTAAGTTAGCTGTGAATATCCATCTACCCCACCACCCCCCAAAACAAGAAAATACTAAGATAAAAAAAAGTTGATGAAATAGGAAATGAGAGATTGTATCAACAGAACTATATCAGTTTATGACCAAGTAACTCAATTTCGGTAACCCTTCCTTAGATATAGAAGTACTTACATTCATCATAAAATCCGTAAATTCTATTGATGCTGGCACATTCGTGGTTTCCTCTAAGAAGAAAAAAATTCTCGGGATATTTGATTTTGTATGCCAGTAAGAGGCAGATAGTCTCCAGTGACTGCTTCCCCCTGTCCACATAGTCCCCAAGAAACAGGTAGTTGCTTTCTGGCGGGAAACCACCGTACTCAAAGAGTCGAAGCAAGTCATAGTATTGCCCATGGATATCACCTAGAAGCAAGGGTTTTGTTACACAGTGTCTTTATACTTGTAGTGCATTAACAAAGCTTTGGGAAGACATTCTTTAAACATTCATTGTACAGTGGCAATGCCTCTAATAAGGACAGTTAAAATTTGATAGCTAACACTAATTTCCAATCTTCTACCTTATTAGTTCAATTAAGCTTAATAAAAAATTTAAGGGTATGTGTATGTCCAGAATCCCACACAAAACTCAACTAATTAATTAATTTTGTGGAAAGATTACGAATGCGTAGGCAGGCCTTCTTGCCAAGTAACATTGTTTTCCTTTCAGGTCCCTGATCAATATCAGATCTCTGACAGTTGAGTCTCCCCATACTGTGTCAGCAGAACCACTGCACTCCCAGTGAGTTCTGGCCTCATGTGAACAAAGATACACACTCAGTCCACCCTTCAATGCATTCAGCTATCAACTCCCCCCCTCATAGATAATGCTAAAGAGCATTTACTTGCTTTATCAATGTAGTCAAATATGCTACAAGACTATAACATTACTCAAAATTTAGTTCTTATACAGATTATCTTATACAGAACTACATTATAGTTCTATCATGTAGGAAAAAAAGTAGAACTATAAAGCGGCACCAAGGGAGGTCTATTTTTAGGCATAACCAATTCTACTTTAAGCTTGAATGTAATTCCTATATATTCATATAGTTCAGATCTTTTCTTAGCTCTCCTTCTGTTTCATTCCTTCCCTTTTTCAATGTTTATAATTCTTTCAGCAAAATAATTTTTAGAAAATCTGAAGCACATCTAAGTAAACTAAGCCCATTAGAAGTATTGATTCTAGAGCTGTAATTACTTAGTTTAGTTTTAAGTAGTTCCAGGTTATTCATAAATAGCAAATGATTATGCTGGCTAATATAAGGTAATCTACTAGTATATATCTTTGCCTCAGTTAATCAATCTCAATCACATAACCATGTTAGTGTTCCAAGACTTACCACATATTTTGAGTGGTGCTTCAAGTTCTAGTAGGATAGGCTGGCTGAGAAAGATCTCTCGAGATTTTAAGCACAGTCCTCTGATTTCATTCTCCTGTAGCTGGACATTCTTACCAGGCTTGGACCCTCTTACTGTAGGGGAGAAAAACTCCAATTAGTAATCAAAGTCAAAATACAATTTCATGTAAAAGTTAAAAATATCTCAAAAGATACAAACTTTAGGTAAGAAGGAGGTAAAATAATAGTTTAACTAGCTTTTTGAGTGGCTTTATTTTCAGGACTTTTATAAAGAACATGGTTTTAATGCCTAATTAGAATCCTAAATCTTAGCCAGGATTTCAGAGATGATTCAGTGCCACCTTCTATACAAAGTTAAGACTTGTTCAGGATACTGTGTGTGAGAGTATGGTTAGAAAGGTTTCTCTTTTACTACCTGCTGAATTCAGACTCCCTGTGGCTTGAGGCCTCAGTTCTGCATCCAAGCCATCCAAGCACCTACAGCCCGCCCACCAGACCAGCTCTTTTTGCCTCCTGTCTCTTCTTTTCTAGCCTTATAAATAAATTAGTATGTGCAAAGCAGATTTCAAAGATTGTCCCGTCACTGAGATGTTTCTAAGAACTCCGTTTTATAATGCAAGATTGGAATTGCTCAGACCTTCATCCCCCTCCAAATCAGTGTTTTTAAGAGGACCATGGGTATTTCTGCAGGCCCCAGATTTATCCATGAAAATTTTTAAGTGTTTTCACATCAAAAAACACAATGTAGGCTTGTTAAACATATTTGGCAGTGCAATTTCTGTATTTTTAAATACAATTATGCCTCTACAGGGCAAAGGATGTCTGCTTGTGCTGTGAGAAAGGTTTCCAGGTAATTTGAACAGATAAAACATGAGCAAAGGGAGAAAGAAATCATAGCACAGCACCAGGTATCCTAAACTCACAAGTACCCACATCAGAGCACTCTGAGGTCTACTCACTATCAAAACGAAGCACAAGCTCTCACCTCTGGCCAGTAATGGTTCATTTTATCGGCCGGTAAGTAGTAGTAGGAAATAAAGCAGGCATTCTTTGCATTAGCGTTAGGAATGAAGCAAAAACACAGGACCAGACTAAATATAGAATACAAGCCTGCACCTTTCTACCATTAAAGCCAATAAAAAGTGATTTAGTATTAGCAAAACCACAAAATCCATCAGATTAAATCAATGTTGCTAACTTAAATGTTATTGGTTTTGGAGGCTTTATTCCTATTCAAATTACAAAATCATTTGGCTTAATAGCTGAATAGGAGCAACAGGTTTAACAGGTTTGTACCTAGCTTTGTTCTGTAATACCTAAGTAACATTACAGAGTGATCAAAATTACAAGTAAAAAAACCTGACATTTGTTGAGAATTTTTTCCCATTATAAAGGGCTGTGTCCACGTTTGAGAAACATTGTCCTAGAGGCGAAGCCATCCTACGGCCTGAATAGTCACCGAAACCCTGCAATTTTCTGAAGAAACAGGTTTTGAGCAGAATTAAACTGTGTAGAAGTGTATTTTTTTCTTTCAATGAAAGATAATGAACCAAACCAGTATTATATGAAATGCTGAAAGGTATTCTTTAAGAAGAGGAAGAAGAAAAAGGTAAAGATAAAAATTATGAACAGCAAATACATTATCTATCAACAAATGAATCTAAAAACCAAGTGAATAAAAAATCTGATGAACCGAGTAAACTGGTGAATATAATAGAACCAGGGGCATAGAAAGGGAGTGGACTGACAATTCTTGGGGGGAAAGGGGTGTGAGGGTGCAGGAAGAGACTGGACAAAAATCGCACACCTATGGATGAGGACAGTGGGAGGGGTAAGGGCAGAGGGTGGGGTGGGAACTGGGTGGAGGAGAGCTATGGGGGAAAAAAAGAGGAACTGTAATAATCTGAACAATAAAGATTTAATTTAAAAAAAAGACAGAAAGATAATGAATAAGAAAGGATCAAATTCTTGAAACACACAAAAAGAAAGTAAGAGCACTGGACTTGGAGCCAGGAGCCCCAAGTTTCTGTATTGGTTCTATAGCTTTGGCCAAATCACTACTTTAAACCCCAAAATATGTAAATGAACTAAATGACTAGCCAGTCTCTTGATCAAATTATAAAACAAAAGCAATTAAAGGAAAAACATAGTAATAACTTTTGAGGGAAGATACAAAACAAATGCATATATAACACAACAGCAACTGAGCAACAAAAAGTGCTTTTTCTATAGCAATTTTTCTTTCTCCCTAAACACACACATATTAGAGAATTCAAGAAACACTCCTGGTGGAAAGATGATGTGTTCCTTGATTCACTGGCCAGAAAACCCCATTCATTAGTGATTTTACCACAAGTCAGCCAGAAACTTGGGCAGACTGCCCAGCAGAAAATTTTATTTTTGGCTTGGAGGGGACTCCTAGAAACTTCTGGTTTCAACCTGAATCGTTTCCAGCAGAGCCCCACATTTGTGAATGAAGAGCCCACTCTATTTTTCAGGAGTCTATGTAAAAATTGACTTACACCTATATTGAGTTCAGGCTATAGTTTTTATATAAATGCTATCATAGTAAATCAATGTCATCGTATTCAATGTTACGAACATGAATTTTACTGGTTTTGGAGGCTTCCCATTATCACCTTTAGATGTAGTTTATGGTAGTTTTCTCTTATTCTGTCTGTCCTGAGTAGGACTGCACAGTGTTTTAGTAAAGAGAAATACTGCTAACAATGAAAACTTATTCTTAATGTGGAATTTTTCTAGAACTCAGTATATTTTATATTTGAAGAACATTGATCATTAAAAGCAACAAGGCCCCAAAGCTTTTTTTTTTTTTTTTTTTTTAGCCCCAAAGCTTTTAAAATCCCCTACAATTAGCTCAAGGAGTAAAACGATAGACATTCCACCCAAACCATCTTCTACCAACTGGCAAATACCTGCGCGTCCTTCAAGCCTCTCCTCTCCTCACAAGCCTGCTTTTCCTTCTCTGAAATGCTCTACAGCCAGTCAGACCCAGCACACACTGTACTTTGTATTGTAATTGCAAGTTCACTTCTACCTCTTCACCTGGACCCAGGATAGAATGCACACCCCAAGAACACACCACTTGCTCTTCAGAGTACATGCTCATGGCCAGTACTCAATATCTGTTTCATAAATTAAGTGTGTATAAATCCTAAGTACTATTGACTTGTGGCATTAGAATCAAACATACACTCCAGACTACATACCTATTTCCAAAAGGCTTTACTGGAGTTAATTCCCTATTTGTAAAAAGACAGAATTACTCTTAAATTTCAAGTTGAAGACAAATGTCTAATAGAAGATAAAGATCTCAAAATGGGTTTTGGTAGTCCAAATGAACACTGTATATACTTCTTAAAAATGGCCATATCAGCCAATAGCATAAATATCTACTTCCCTATTTTCAATGTCCATCAAATAGAATTATATATTAGTTGTGGCTATCATCTGCCAAGCACTTCCCATGTGCTGGATACTACACTAAGGGACTTTGCATTTCCAGTTAATCCTCAACAATTCTATAAGGTTAGACAGTCACCTCCATATTACAGGAGACTTGCTCCAAAGCCAGAGCTTGTAAGGACACTAGGCCAGACCAACTCTAGGTCTAGTGATGTTTCCACCATACCACCCTTCCAAGTAAGAACTTGGTCTTCATTAAACTTCCAAACCAAAGGAATTTTTATAGGGCAAACCCCAATACAGTCATGGCTTCCTAAGAAAAAATTGATATGGGATATAAAATCATAATGCACCCTTATACATGAGGAATTAAATAAGAATTTAAGCCCTAACCAGTTTGGCTCAGTGGCTAGAGCGTCGGCCTGCAGACTCAAGGGTCCCAGGTTCGATTCCAATCAAGGGCATGTACCTTGGTTGCAGGCACATCCCCAGTAGGGGGTGTGCAGGAGGCAGCTGATCGATGTTTCTAACTCTCCCTCTCCCTTCTTCTCTGTAAAATAAATAAACAAACAAACAAGTAAATTATATATGTATCCTACCTACACAATAAAAGATGAAGATGCTAATTGACCATACCTTTGCTACTCCCACCAGCCAATCAGAAAAGCATGCAAATTAACCCAACAAAGATGGCGGTTAATTTGCATACACAGGCACCCAGTGAAGACTGAAGACAATGTAGAAGGAAGCCAAGCACTGT